AAGAAAAGGATGTCGTGGAAGCCAAGGCATTAGCAATGTTGAAGGAGGAAGTGTTCATGTCAGATGTTCCAGAGAAGGAGCTAGACCTGTGTGGCAAATATGAGGTCATTGGAGAGTTTAGAAGACAGTTTCAGTGTTCATGGACATCAGATTGTGGTGGGTTGGAGATTGGCAGGGAGGTACAGAACATAGATGTAGCAGGACTCAGTATCAAGTGGCTAAAACAATAAAGGGAATTTCCATTAAGCAAGGGAACAAGTAGCCAGTGTCACTTAAAAGGAATAAGAGAGATTAGCCTCAGCCTGGGTTCTCAGGAAAATGACTCATGCAGAAAGCAATGCTTGGTTTCTAGATAAGGGGTTAGTTAGCCTGTAGATTGTGGGGAAGGGTAAGCCAGGTGGGAGGAACTGCACAGACAATGGCCAGGTGGACGTGCAGGGAATGGGCCTGAGATCATACTGCCAAGAGTGTGGACTTACAATCACAGGGGCAGAGAGGCAAGGAATGTTCTTGAGCAGGGAAGGAACAAGATCAAGGTTGAACCTCAGGGAGGTTAGTGGCAGCTTATGCAAGATGGAGGAGTTCCCCAAGGGGGTAGAGAGACCCTTGTGGGATCCAGAGCATGAAGAAATGAAGTTAGAAATTGCCGGCAAATCTGAACTTAGCTGCAGAGAGTAAATTCGCTCCAGCAGTGCCCTGGGTCTGGAAAGCCCAGTCAAGAGACAGAGACAGAGCATCCCAGGGGTCTCAATTGGTATGATCAGTGCAGATCTGCCCCCTGCAGATCCTGCCTGCAGGGAGAGGCCAGAAGGCTCAGACACTCAATCACCCCTTTGGGCTGAGAGAATCTGTTGGTTCCCCGACAGATGTGGTTTCTCTGACCATAAGCAAGTATCCCCACAAGTTATCTCCGCCCCATCAAATGGTTCTGAGATTAGATATGATATAGAGTAGGACAAAGGGTGTAGCATACCACACACACACACACACACACACACACACACACACTTACACACACACACACACCCCCCACATATACACCCTGGAAAGACTGAGAAGGTCCCAGAGCTGTAGATCCAAAATATAAAAGATTTGGGCTGGACGAGTGGCGCGTTGGTTGAGGGCTGGCTTGTGAAACCAGAGGGCCCTGGTTCGGATCCCACATATGAGGGCCAGGGACACTGCCCTCTACAGCTAAGATGCTGAACAACAGCTCGACCTGGAGCTGGGCTGCCTTGGGTTGCCGCCCTGCAGCCCCTGCTGCAGTGGGTTGTCATGGGCTACCGTGTGTAGCCAGCAGCCAGCATGAGCGGTCAGCAGCCAGTGTGAGTGGCCAGCAGCCGCCGTGAGCGGCCGTCCAGAAGCCGGCGACTGATCTGCCTCGCCCGGGATAGCAATGATGGTGCCAACTTGGGCCAGTGAAGCAGCGTCCTCCACAACTAGACTGAAGAACAAAAGGACAGCAACTTGTCTGTTCCCCTTCCCCNGCTCCTACTGCAATAGATTGAAACACCAAATATGTTCAAGATCCATGTATTCATAATGATATTAAACACACAATGTTTATTTACCTTCACAGAGAACTGAATAAATCGGAAATTGAAGCATTAAAGTTGCTTTTCTGTATTAAGTACCAGTCAAGGTTAACGAAAAAATTATATCTCCGTGTAGTAGTGTATGTATATAGTAGTATACAGATGTTTCTCTGTATGGTAGCTAGTGAATGAGGAAAGAATGATAAATTAGAAATCCCTCTTCTGCGAAGCTCCTAATGAAATAATGAATCTAGATAGTTTGCCAGATTTAGCAAATAAATTGCATGGCACATACTTACAAAATTATACTAAAATTGTATGGGACATACTTATACTAAAAATTAATTTTGTTTTTCTCAAATTCAAATTTAATTGAATGTCCTGTGTTTGATCTGGCAACCTTAGATCTGGGTAATGATCAACAATGGATGTTATTAATAACATCACTGAGGTAGATGCAGAAGAATCATTTAATAAAATTAAATATCCACTTATGATTAAAAAACTAAAAATTGAAGGAAACTTCTTTAATACAATAATGTGTACTTACAAAAATATTATGCAGGCATTATACATAATAGGAAAATGTGCTTTTGCCTTGTGATCAGATAAGACCTGGATACCTCCTACTATGCCTTTATTCAATGATGTATTGAAGAGACTAAAGAAAAGATATAAAGATGAGAAAAGAAGGAATTAAATTCATTATTCATAAACCATATGATGGTATATGTGGAGAATTCAAAAGAACCTACAAATAAATCATTAGAATAATAAGTGGTGACCTCTGGTTCCAGACAAGAGGGCAGAGACTTATTTCTCCCTACCTCTCTCTGGTAAGTACAACAAAAACCTGGAAATAATACAACAGACATTCATAAGAGGACTCTGAAAGGTAGAAAGAAGAAGGCGAACTGGCTAGGGACCTTAGGACTTGAGAGATAACACAGTGAACCAGCATCTCTAAACTCCGCCCTCAATGACAGGAGGTGGCCCAAACCCAGTGGCTCCCCAGCCCCTATCCAGCGGCAGAAGACACCCAGGTAGGTGCTTTTCTCCTCCAAGGGTGGTGCCAGCAGGTATCAAGCAGGAGCCCCACTGGCACCAGGCATTCCAGGAAAGTGCTCTCCACCCCATCATGCCAGCGACTCCTACCCCTAACCTAGCAACACCAGGTGGGCCCAAGTAAAGGCCTTCAGCTTCCATTGGTGGTACCAATAGGAATTGC